CTCCCACCTGTCTGACTACTCCTTAATCTTCTTTGCTAGACCTTTATACAGATTCTACCTACTAACTCTGGGTTTCTCTCATGGTTCAGTCATGGGCCATCTTCTTTTCTCCCTCCATAGTTTATATCACTGGTGTCAAACACACATGTGGTCCAGGTCACTCCCAACTGTGGCCTAAACCTGATTAAAACATAATTGGGAACTACTGAACAAAATTAATTAAAATATAATAAAACATAGATAATGTTAATAGGGGGTTTTCTAAGTCAATATAAACCCTCAAGTATGGTTGAGTGGCCCTCGTTTCTGTTTGATACTGACACCAGTGGTCTATATTGGTGATGTCCTCTGTTCCCACGGATTCAGTCATCATCACTATTACAGATGATTCTCAGACCTTTACACCCAGACCTAACCCATCACTAACTGCATACTGGCCATCTCAAACTAGTTATCCAATAAACATCTCAAATTCAAAATGCTCCCTTATTTCTAACTTTTGTATTATTATTACTATTATCACCAACCTTCCAGTCATCCAGTCCTTAACTCCTCACTCTCTCTCATCCCCATATCCAATCAGTTGCCAAGCCTTACTGTTTCTACTGTCACAATATCTATCATTTATGTTCCTCTTCTCTCTATTCACACAACCACTGGAACCAGCCAATGGAAAGGCCCTCAATACCTCATATTCTTGACTACTGCAATAACCTTCTTGATTTTCCTGCCTCAAATCTATCCTCATTCCAGCTTATACTCCACTCAATTGTAAAAGTGAACTTCCATAGGTCTGACCACATCTGACCTCCCTCCCCCCACCTCAGGTCTGACCCCCTCTCCATTAAATTTCAGTGTCTCCTTATTACCTTCAGAATAAAATATAAAATTCTGTTTGGCTTTTAAAGTGTTTCATAAGCTGGCCCCTTTCTACTTTCCCAGTCTTCTTATACCTACTCCATCCGAAATTCTCTTCAATTCAGAGACACTGGTCTCCTCCCATCTTCCTAAATTTTTGTTGGCTGTTCCCCGTGCCTGTAATTGTCTTCCTCTTCACCTCTACCTACCTGGCTTCCCTACTTTTCTTCAAATCTCAGCTAAAATTCCACCTTCCCACCCAGTCTTGCCCTCCTCCCACCTTTTTGCTAGTGTCTTCCTTCTATGATTTTCTCACTTAACTGTGTATGTATTTTGTATGAACATAATTGTTTGCATGTTGTCATCCCCATTAGAATCTCCCTTGAAGAAAAAGGTTGTGTTTGCCTTTCTTAGCACAATGCCTGCTACTAGCACAGTGCCATGATTAAGATCTTAAATGCTTGTGGACTTGATTTGACTCAGCATGTCCCCAAAAAAATTCATTCTCTTTCCTTCTAAGCCTACCCCTCTTCCAAACTTTCCTATTACTGATCAGGGCACCAACAGCCTCAATATGATCCTCAACTCCTGACTCTCACTCGCTACACATGTCCAGACTCTTGCCAAGTCTTGACTTTCTAACCTCAGTTCTCCTATCTATGTGCCCCCTTCTATCTGTTCACTTATACAACCTCCACACATGTGTAGGCCTCATCATCTCATACCTGGAATATTATATTTGCCTACTGGTTTGTCTCCCTGCTCCTATCTCCCTACTCCTATCATCCACTCAGTTGCCAAAGTGATCTCAATATCCTAACTCTGTGCCTTTTCATTGACTGGGATGCTCTTTCTTCCTCACCTCTACCTCTGCCTCCTGGCTTCCTTCAAGATTTAGCTCAACTAACACCTTCTGCAGGAGACTTTCTCCAGTCTGGTCCCATTCTCTTTCTCCCTCATCTTCCCATGGGAAATGGCTTCCCTAAGAAATTAAGCTCCATTTACAACATATATGTCTTTTGTGTACAACTTTTTGCTACATCAACATTACCATGGTACTGTTTGCCATTCTACATTAGACGAATGCTCCTTATTTATTACAAGATTCGCCCACCCCTTTCTCTCACTTAATTGGGAAATAGGGTAGGTGAAAAGGAGGGCTAGCAATAGTGATACAAAAAAAAGGGAACTATTGAATTTTTTTTTTAATGCACACAAGACAACAGAAGGAAGTTCAGTAGGAAGCATAGACAAGCAGGATGGCTTTTTTGGAGCTGTCTTAGATCCTTGCATTGCTGAGAAGGGGTAAGTCTATCAATATTAGTCATTACACAATGTGGCTGTTACTGTTACTGTTACCCTTTGACCCAATAATACCTATACTTGGTCTATACACATACACACACATATTTGTATCTAATGGTAGCTATCTCTAGGGCAGGAGGGGTAGCAGGGAAGAAAAAAAAGGAATTTACATGATAATTTTGTATATTTGAAAGGAACAGCAAGTTGTGCATAGTAGATTTGCAGTTTCATGTACAATCATCTTTTTATTGTACTATGTTAGGGAAATGCTTGTTTTATTCCATCAATTAAAAATAAAATTTAATAATAATAAAAATAAATAATGAATACAATGAATAGGGAGGAGCAGGGTTAGGTATATGAATGATGCAAAACAAGTAAACAGAACTGGTAAAACAATAAGTGACCATAACAGTGGCAAATGGAAAGGGCACGAAGGGTCAAACAACTGAAATTGAATGCTACGGAATTATACTAACCAAACTTGGTCCTAAAGCAGAGATAGAACATACCTCTCCTAAGTTCTCTGCATAGACAGGGGGGCTGTGGGTATGCAACAACGAATAAAATATCAGACTTTTTTTGATAGGTTGAATATCTATTGAATGGAACCCCCCTCCCCCACCTCTTTTATTCTTTGTTATAAGGAATAGCTCTCTAAAAGGAGGAGGTAAGGGAGGGAGGAAGATACACTGAAAAATGTAAGTGATATAAAAACAAAAGACTAATAATAAAAATGTGTTAAAAATAAAAACTTTAATAGAAATGGATAGTTTTTTTTAGTCTCTGTATATAAAAATGTTTTTGTTTTTTGATTCTTGTTAATTTGACAATGAAAACACAAATGTTCTGTCTTCAAAATCTGGTCCTGTTTGACCCAGATAAGAACCACATAGAGACCCACTGGCTTTAGAGGTTTTGTCCCCTCCCACATTTCTACCAGGCATCCCAGTGGACCTGACCTGTTTCCATCCCCCACCCCATCACATCCTCCCCTCACTTCCCTTTCTACTGTATATTCTCTCAGTCAAGTCTGCTTTCCTTCTGATGATGTGTTGCTAGCTCCCTTCTCAGGATGTGTCGGGCTGGCCAGTGCCACCCCTTCCTTGTACAGAACCCTGGGATCTCCAACTTTACTCCAACTACAATAAGAGAGAAGGTTTTGGCCTTAAGGAGGGGAGGGTTCCAAGGAGCAGAGATGAAAAAAGCGTGATGGCACTCTAAGCATAGGAGATGGCATACATCAATGCGTGGAGGTGGCAGAATGCAGAATGAGGTCACGGATTAGCTAGTAGTCTAGATAGGCCTAAAATGGAGCACATGAAGGGGAATATAAGGGCCAGAATGTTAGCATGGAGACAAATTTTGGAAGGTCCTATAAATGTCAGGCTAAGGAGTTTTGCCTGTCAATATGGAACCAACTAAAATTTTTTAACAGGAAAATAATAGTCAGATCCAGACAGTACTGGGGGTGGGGTGGGGGAGCAAGGGGAGTTGGAAGACAGCCTTTCTAGCTCTGGAATTTCTAGATTATATCAGCGATTCATTTTTGTAGCAATGAATGAATGAATCCACTGCCAAATTTCAAATTTCAAAAAGCCACACTAGTGGAGGATAACATTAACAAATGGCAAAACTCTTCTTTTAAGGGAGAAATTCCAGTGAATCAGGACTGTAGGAAAGCAGCAGGTCTCATGTCTCCCTGGAAGTCAGGAGGCTGCCACATGACGAGCGGCAACATGAGCTGCCCCAAGCCAAGGGCCGCCTGGAATGCTCATCTCTTGAGTGCTGATGGAGCAGTTTGCAGAATTCTCCTAAGTCAGGAAAGCAGCTAATTCAGTATCAAGCAGTCTAGGGCACTGAGAGGAAAAGAGTCATTAAATAAGGGAGCCGCCTGATACACTACAGAGGGCTCCATCTGGAGTCAGAGGAACTGAGCTCGCTGCCATTTTATTATTTCTATGGCCTTACACCCCTCCTCTGGACCTCAGTTTCCTCATCTGTAAAATGAGGACTCTGGGTACGAGTCAGCAATGCAATATGACAGTCAAAAACAAAACCCCCCAATATATTATTGGCATTCTGGCCTCTTAAAGAGAGGCATGATAGCCTGAATGAAAGAAATGAGGGTTCCATATATGCTGGCCTGCTCAGATCACATGTGGATTACTGCATCAACTTGGGGCACAACATCTTAGGGATGATGTTCATAAACTCAGGACCATTCAAAGGAGGGGTTAAAGAAACTGATTTTGTTTTAGAAAAAGTTTAATAGAGGTGAGAGTTGCCTTTTAATTTTATTCTTAATGTAAACAACAGGCGGAATGGGCATCTGCAAATATACAGCAGAACAGAATATGAAGGTTGTGCAAGAAACTGCAGATTTCTGTTAGAGCAGAAAATAGCACAGGAGATATTTGGAGTCAAGATCTGAGTTTCAATCCTGTCCTCAGGCACTTACTAGCTGTGTGACTCCAGACAAGTGACTTAACATCTTTGTGTCTCAGTGCTATATAACTTGTTGTTTTTGCTATTATCATTATGACAATGCTTGACCCCACAACTGGGGGTAGGGGGAGAACAACTAGGATTAAAGAGATGATCGATGACAGATTTGTCCATGAGCAGATTTCATCTCCACAGAAAAAATCTTCTCACAATTAGTTATAGCAAAAGTGAAATAGGCTGCCCCAGAAAAAAAGAGGACTGACTTCTGGTGCCAAGATGGTGAAGTGAGGAAAGAACTCAGTGAAGTCCTCCCAAGTCTCCCTCTAAACAACCAGAAAACAACCAGAAAAACGCCTCAGAATTGGTCTAGGAACAGGTAAGCTGCTTACCTGCCAGGAAACGTCTGTCTCACTAGGGTGGGAGGGGAGAGAGGTCCAAGAGCAGCAGCAGCAGGGGCCTGCAGCAAGGCCCCGCCTTCTTGCAAACTAGCAGCCCCAGAAATGTTAGCTTTAGCAATATGAGAAGAAAAAGAAATTGAAGGAATTAGAATAGGCAATGAGGAAACACAGTTATCACTCTTCGAAGATGATATAATGATACACTTAGAGAATCCTAGAGAATCAAATAAAAAACTACTTAAGATAATTAACAACTTTAGCAAAGTTGATATAAAATAAACCCACATAAATCACTGGCATTTCTACATATTACTAACAAAGCCCAGCAGCAAGAGATAGAAGGAGAAATTCCATTTAAAATAACTGTAGACAATATAAAATATTAGGGAGTCTATCTGCCAATACAAACCCAAAAACTACATGAACACAATTACAAAACAATTTTCACACAAATAAAGCCAGATGTCAATAATTGGGTGAAAAAAAAAAGTTGCTCATGGGTAGGCCAAGCTAATGACAATTCTACTTAAATCAATCTATTTATTCAGTGCCACACCAATGAAACTACCAAGAAATTATTTTATAGAGCTAGAAAAAATAATAAAATTCATCTGGAAGAACAAAATCTCAAGGATATCAAGGGAATCAATGATAAAAATGGAAAAGAAGGTGGTCTAGCTCTGCCAGATCTCAAACTGTATTATAAAGCGGTAATTACCAAAACAATCTGGTTATCAAAACAAACTGCCTAAGAAATACAGTGATAGATCAGTGGAATAGATTAGGTACAAATTACATTATAGTAAATGACCACAGTAATCTAGTATATGATAAACCCAAAGATCCAAGCTTTTTGAACAAAAACTCATTATTTGACAAAAACTGCTAGGAAAATAGTATGGCAGAAGCTAGGTATAGACCAACATCTCACATCATATACCAAGGTAAGGTCAAAATGGGTACATGATTTATACATTAAAGGTGATACCATAAGCAGATTAGGAGAGCATGGAGTAGTTATCTGTCAGATTTATGGATGATAGAACAATGTAGGACCAAAGAAGATAAAGAGATAAAATAGGTAATTTTGATTATATAAAATTAAGATGTTTTTGCACAAGCAAAACCAATGAAATCAAAACTATAAAGAAAGCAGGAAAATGGGGGGGGTTGCTAAGAGTATCTCTGGTAAAGGCCTCATTTCTCAAATATATAGAGAACTGAGTCAAATTTATAAAAATACAAGTCATTCCTCAACTGATAAATGGCCAAATGATATGAAGAGGCAGTTTTCACACAAAGAAATCAAAGCTATCTATAGTCAAGTGAAAAAAATGCTCTAAATCATGACTGATCAGAGAAATACACATCAAAACAATTCTGAGGTACCATATTACACCCATCAGATTGGCTAACATGACAAAACAGGAAAATGATAAATGTTGGAGATGTGGGAAAATCAGAACACTAATGCATCCACTAATGGTAAAGTTGTGAACTGATCCAACCATTCTGGAGAACAATTTGGAATTTATATCCCCAAAGGGATATAAAACTGTGCATACCCTTTGATCCAGCAATACCTCTACTAGATCTGTATCCCAAAGACTTCCAAAACAAGGGAAAAGGACCTATTTGCACAAAAATATTTACAGCAGCCCTTCTGGTGATGGCTAAGAAATCAGAGGGATGCCCATCAATTTGGGATGGCTAAACAAACTGTGGTATTTGATTGTAATGGAGTATTATTGTGCTATAAGAAATGAAAAGCACAGGGCAGCTAGGTGGCACAGTAGACAGAGCACCAGCCCTGCGGTCAGGAGGTCCAGTCTCAGACCAGACACTTGACACTTACTAGCTGTGTGACCCTGGGCAAGTCACTTAACCCCAACTGCCTTGCCAAAAAAGAAATGAAAAGCAGGATGGTTTTAGAAAAACCTGGAAAGACTTACACGAACCAGGAGAAAGTTGTACACAGTAACAGTAATACTGTTCGATGAAGAACTGTGAATGATTTGCCTATTCTCAGTGATACAATGATCCAAGACAATCCCAAAGGACTAATTATGAATTATTCTATCCACCTCCAAAGACCTGATATTGACTAGATACAGATGAAGCATACTATTTTTCACTTTCTTTTTTTCTTTGATTCCTCTTGTACAAAATGACTAATATGGAAATGTTTTACATAATTGCACACATATAATCTATATCTGATTGCTTACCATCTCAAGGAGGGGGGAAGAGAAGGAGGGAAGGAAGCATAGAATTTGGAACACAAAACAAAAATGTTTAAAAATTAAAAGGGGCAGTGAGGTGGCACAGTGGATAGAACACTGGCCCTGGAGGCAGAAGGACCCGAGTTCAAATTCGGCCTCAGACACATTAACACTCACTAGCTGGGCAAGTCACTTAACCCCATTGCCTAGCAAAAAAAAACAAAACCAAAAAAAATTAAAAAAAATAGAGGACTATAACCAGCTATCTACCTGTGGTCTTCCCATAAAAACTAGATGCTCACATGCCTATCATATTATAGAGGGGAATCTTCTACAGGTTTGACTGACTGATCACTATAGTCTCTTTTTATTCTGAGATTATGTGATTCCAGGACAATATAAACTACATCATCTCTAAGGACCCTTCCAACTTTAAATGATTTCTTTCTCTCAAGTCAGGTCAATGGTTCAGTCGTTTCAGTTGTGTCCGATTCTTCATGACCCCATTTGGGTTTTTCTTGGCAGAGGTACTGGAGTGGTTTGCCATTTCCTTCTCTGGCTCAATTTACTGATGAGGAAACTGAGGCAAACAGGGTTAAAAGACTTGCCCAAGGTCACAGCTGTTAAGTCTGAAGCCAGATCCACTGCACCACCTAACTGCCCCAAATGAGTATTTAAGAGCTCACTATGGGCCAAGTACTATGCTGAACACTAGGCAGGGGTGGGGAACCTACAGCCTCAAGGCCACATGCGGCCCTCTAGGTCCTCACGTGAAACCCCTTGACTGAAACCAACCTTGACAGAACAAATCGCCTTACTAAAAGTTTTGTTCTGTAAAACTTGGACTCATTCAAAAGGCTGCACCCAAGGACCTAGAAGGCCACATGTGGTCTCTGGATGCAAGCTCCCCTCCCCACCCCTGCACTACAGCTACAAAGAAAGGGGGTAAAAACAATGCCTACTCTCAAGAAGTTCACAGTGGAATGGGGGAGACAACATGCAAATAACTGCACAAACAAGACACAGACGGGATAAACTGGAAATAATCTCAGAGGGAAGATACTGAGATAAAGGAGGACCAAGAAAGGCTTCTTGTAGGAGGTAGGACTTTAACTGAGACTTCAAGAAATTCAGGGAAACCAAAAGGCAGAAACAAGCAGGGGGACAGTCTTGAAAATGCCCAAGGTCTGGAGATACAGCATCTTGAGCCAGGAGCCTCCAGGAGGCCAAAACTTCATCACAGAGAATATCAAGGGCAGTAAGATATAGGAAGACTGGGAAGATAGGGAAAGACCAAGTTATAAATGACTTTAAGGGCAAAAAAAGAGAATTACACGTTTAATCCTGATGATAATAGGGGAGTCACTGGAGTTTACTGACTGGGGGAATGACATCGTCAGATTTGTGCTTTCGGAAGATAAATGTGACAGCAGAGTGGAGTGGGGAGAGACTTGATGCAGGGAGGCCAACCAGCAGGCTTTTATTGCAACGGTCCAGGAGTGAGGGGATGAGACCATACTGGTGGCAATGTTAGAGGAAAGAAGGGGGCATATACAAGGGATGTTACAAAGGCAGAAATGACAAGACTTGGCAATGATCAGATATTTGGGGAGGGGGTGGTTTGTGGAGAATCAGGAGTTTAGGATTTCTCTGAAAGGAACATGCAGTATTTCCATTAAAATACTCTATAACTTGAAAGAGCACAGTGGAGGGGGTAGGGGTGGCAGGGAGAGAAGTAAGAAACAGGAAAGAAAAGCAATCCAAGACAGTTTAACCTCTCCAAAAAACAACAATAAAACCATTCCTTTAGAAAGTTTGAATGACTTACATTGAACTTCAGTCCACGAAGAGAACACTGCCAACCCAGAAAACACAGGACATCCTGCTATGTGTCTTTGTTTACATGTACTCAGCCTAAGTTATGACAGCTTAGCTCAGTTGATTATAGTTCCATGCAGATATTGGTCTCATCCAATAAGTGCTCTCATAATGTGTATATCACTTCATCTCCAGCCTGCCCTCTCTCAAATGTACATTCCCTGACTATAGGGTGTCACTGGTTGAGAAACCAGATGGATTCATGGAAATCCTTCCTCATCAGAAGAAAAACAACTCCAAGGTCCATGCCTTAGTGACAATGTCTCATAAAGAGGAAAGTAAATTTTTCCTAGAGCAAAGTGCCCCGGAGGAAGAAGAATGTGTCCAGAATGAAAACAAAGCTTGCTGTGCTAGGCAGCCCCAAAACAAAGAAAGGAAGAAGAAAGGCTTAAAAGGTAGACTAGATCTGGGCATCAGAGCTCGATATTTTCCTGTCTTTAGTTTCAGCTACCCAACTAGCACGGATCACAATCAAAACAAACAAAACAAAACAAAAAAACCTCAAATCCCTCAGTCTTTTCATTCTCCCTACCCAGAAATAGACAAGCAACCAGGATACTGGGCTACTGAAACTGACCTTCATCATAGGCAGGTCCAGGAATTATAGAAAAGCCCCAATCTAAGTCCCATGGATTCACATACCTTCTATCCCAATACACCCCATTTTCAGCACATCCGGCCTACTACTCTTATAAACATAACAATCTTCATTCCACAGGCTGAATTACAGACATAAAAACAAGTCTCTGTGTTTATATATGTTGCAAGCAAATCCAGAAATGAGGGGGAAATTTCACTCTGCCTGTTCATCTTGGGCCTGTCCCAATGTTGACAAATTAAAGCATGTTACATAGATCTGCCTGGGCATATCCCAAAATGAGTGATCTGTGGGCAGTTCAGATATGCCTAAAGAGAGGGAAAGAAGGCGGGGTAGAGAGGAGAGGGAAAAAGACATACAGAGCACCAAAATGAAATAGGTACATGTCTCAGAGGCTGGGTTGACTTCATC